TGGGTTTTTTATTTTTTTTTGCTATATAAATTTAAAAATAACGCAAATTTTGAAAAAAATTATTTTTTGCTTAGTTTTTGTTATAACATTTTGCAAATAAATATTTTTTCTTCAGAAATTTAGGACAAAATGTATTCTGCTCCATTTGTGGTGTAAAGACAACCCAAACCAGTGTATATTATTTATGCAGGCCATAGATGGGTCGAAAATCGGCCGATTTTTCGGCCGAAAATAAAATCGGCCGATTTTCAGATTGTTAGTGGGCTCTTTGTTCGGCCCCCTTTTTTCGGTATTTTGGCAGATTTTTTTTTATCGGTAAAGTTGGAAAAAAAATCGTGGACTGATTTTGCCGAAGAAGAAGAAGAGGATGATGAAGAAGAAGAAGAAGACAGGATGATGATGATGAGAATGCCGATCGGCCGATAAAAAAAAATTTCACGGCAATGATGGTCAAATCGGGTTGCCGAAATAGGTCAATATCCTAAATGGATGCAAATAGATACATTGTTGCAACCGCTATAAATGTCAAAGAACTGTCAAAGAAATAGCAGAGCTCTCTGCAGGGACACTTTTTGCCGGCTGTAGACAGGATGAAAATCGGCCGATTTTTTTTTTTACCATTGCTGGTAACGTCGGCCGCTTGAACAACCGATTTTTTTGTTTTTTTTAAAAGAAAAATCAGCCGTTTTTCTCCCCGTCTATGGCCTGCATTATGCAGGCCATAGACGGGGAGAAAAACGGCAGATTTTTCTTTTTAAAAACGAAAATTCGGTCGTTCAAGTGGCCTGACGTTACCATCAATGGTAAAAAAAATCGGCCGATTTTCATCCCGTCTACAGCCGGCATAAAGTGTCCCTGCAGAGAGCTCCACTATTTCTTTGACAGTTTCTCTGACAGTTCCTTGACATTTATAGAGGTTGCAACAATGTATCTATTTGTTTCCATTTAGGATACAGATGTTTTTATTCGTAAACAAATAGATACAATGTTGCAATCGCTGTAAATGTCAAGGAACTGTCAGAGAACTGTCAAAGAAATAGCGGAGCTCTCTGCAGAGACACTTTTTGCTGGACTGGAATTCCTCTTATTTTCATCCTACTTCTTCTTCTTCTTCATCCTCATCCTCTTCTTCTTCTTCCTCATCCTCTTTTTTCTTCATCATCCTCTTCTTCTTCATCCTCTTCTTCTTCTTCCTCATCCTCATCCTCTTCTTCTTCATCCTCTTCTTCATCCTCATCCTCTTATTCTTCTTCTTCCTCATCCTTCTTCTTCTTCTTCATCCTCACCCTCATCTTCTTCATCCTCATCCTCTTCTTCTTCTTCTTCTTCCTCATCCTCTTCTTCTTCATTCTCATCCTCTTCTTCTTCATTCTCTCATCCTCATCCTTCTTCTTCATCCTCATCCTCTTCTTCTTCCTCTTCTTCATCATCATCCTCTTCTTCTCCTTCTTCATCCTCATCCTCTTCTTTCTCCTCCTTCTTCTTCATCCTCTTCTTCTCTTTCTTCATCCTCATCCTCTTCTTCTTCTTCATCCTCATCCTCTTCTTCTTCTTCCTCATCCTCTTCTTCATCATCCTCATCTTCTTCTCCGTCATCCTCTTCTTCTTCATCCTCATCCTCTTCTTCTTCTCCTTCTTCATCCTCTTCTTCTTCTTCTTCTCATCCTCATCCTCTTCTTCATCCTCTTCTTCTTCCTCTTCTTTTTCTTCATCCTCTTCTTCATCCTCTTCTTCTTTTTCTTCTTTTTGTCTTCCTCTTGCAGGTCACTGCTCATGCACAGATTTTTTATCGGTAAAAAATCGGCCGATTTGCCCACTAATTGCCACGAAAATCAGCCGATCGGCAAAATCGGCCGATTTTTTTCCAACTTTACCGGAAAAAAAAAACGGCCCAAATACCGAAAAACGGCCGAACAAATAGCCCACTAACGATCCGAAAATTGGCAGATTTTATTTTCGGCCGAAAAATCGGCCGATTTTCGACCCATCTATGGCCTGCATTAGTCTGTGTGAAAGCTATAGAGTCAAACTATAGCTTTTATAGAGAGGTGTGCGCCTTTCCAAATCATGTCCAATCAACTTAATTTACCACAGGTGGGCTACAGTCAAGGTGTAGCAACATCTCAGCAATGATCAAGAGAAATGGGAGGCACCTGAGCTAACTTTCAAGTGTTGTTGCAAAGGGTCTGAATAATTGGGTACATATGATATTCCATTTTTTTCTTTTTAATAAATTCAGACATTTCTAAAATTCTGTTTTTCATTTTATGATTATGGGGTACTGAGTGTAGAGCTCTCATGCACACTTGACATTTTCTCGCACTGCTAGCGTTAGCTGGATTACAGTCACTTTAAAAATGCAAGTTTTTTCAGCGGTTTTGCATAGTGTTTGTTTGCATTTTACTGCATTTTCCAGCGTTGCAGGATTTTTACAGCTGAAAAATTCCTCTAGAAACCCACTAGTTTTGGGGGTTTTTTTTAGCCAAAAAATGTCCCAGCCAGAAAACGTTGATTACAGTCTATGTGTGCATGGACACATAGGATAACATGCTGGGGAGTTTATTGACTGTAAAAAAAACATCAAACGCCAAAAACAGCAGCTCTAAAAAACGTCCAGTGTGCATAAAGGCTCATGAGAAAAAACAATGCATTTAAACAACTGTAGCATCAGGCTGCAACATAACAAAATGTAATAAAGTGAAGGGTGAATACTTTATGAATGCACTGTATATGCACACACAATTGTGACACAAACTAAATTGTAATTTACTGTTATTAAAAATTATATTTTCCTTTTCAGTCTGCAGCAATGTCATTTTCCATAAAATTCAATGAAATCTGGCAACCAGGAGGCGTTTTGTGCACAGGTGCTGTACGAAACACCCCTAGAGATGTCATATCCTGTTTGTGTGATTGGCTCAGAGATTTTCCCAGAAGTCTGCACTACTAAGAAGTCAGATTTTAGGCATCCTCTGCAACACAAATTTCAGTTTTGGCGAGATTCTCCTAAAGGGTTAATCACCTCTACAAGAATGCAGACACTGCCACTCTCTTCATTAGAGTACTCCAAGTGCAACAACTGATCAATAATGAAAAATTCACTCCCAATCAGAATCACTCAGATCTAACAAAAAGCTATTCCTTCAGAGCAGAAACAGGTCGGAAAAAAGTTTGTTAAAAGCCCTGCAATGTACATTGGTCACCCAAAGGGGAGTGTTTTTTTTTTCTCAGCAAAAGTGGAGGTTTTCTTTAAAGTGGAACTAAGGCCACAGATTTAAGTGCTTCCCAAAAACAATTACATACAAGGCATTATAAGAATACTAATGGTCACAGATGTTTGTGCTTTTCTCAATGGGACTGTCAAGCCGTCAAATGACTGGTGTCATAACTGATCATATGTGCAGTACCATAACAACTGCAGATCATACAAAGACTAAGATGGTAGCTTTCCTAGGATAAGGAGAGTATAGTTCCACTTTAAATGCCATCAGAATGTTAGTACAGGCACCCATACCTACCCTTCACAGCTACCATCCAGGGTCCCCTGTGAACTCCAAAACCCACATCACATGCTAGAAATGTCAAATGCTTACTTTTCATTGGAAAGTCAGCACTTTGCTACCCCCCCCCCCCCCCCCCAAAAAAAAAAAAGTGGAAATCTTATCTTTCCTTTTTTTTTTTCTTTATTTCTTTAAGGAAATTAGGTTTTTATATTTGAAATATTGAGGGTGCAAATGTTTGCAAGATCTTGCGTATCAGTGTTTTATGTGGACACGTGCATGTATGACAACTTGTAGGCAATCCCCTTAACCTCTTCATGTTTGGAGATCTCCTACCCTTTATGACCACGGCAGGTTTTGGGTTTGTTTGTTTTTTACTTTTTATTTGTTTTTTTTAGTATATGTGATCAAAGGGCCACAGATGTGAAAAGATATATGTTTATGGTTTCCATATAAATATCTTATGTTTCTCAATATATAGCATTTGATTTTCATGTAACAAAAAAAATGATGTATCCATTTTTTTAACAGATAAAACTGATCTTACAGCAGAAGGATCGAGGCTAGATACAGAGGTGAGATTTTTTTTTTTTTTTTGCTGTGACAACGTCAATGGCTGTCTGCTCATATGATCATATGACCGCAAGCTACACTGACATGCAACTGGGATATTACAGTAGGATTTTTGCTATCAACACCAAGGTTCCCCTTTCCCATCTTTTCCAAAAAAAAAAAAATGTATCCATTCTGTCAGCGGTATTATCTTATGGTATGGGTCAGAAATAAATTGGTTAATGTATATTATTAAAGCGGATGTCCAGTCAAAATTTATAAAAATATAAAAGTCAACAGCTAGACAAACTGTATCTGCTGACTTTTAAATAACAGACACTCACCTGTCTCTCTATCCCTCTGTGTCCACACACCGGCCGGGTTCACTGGCAGACCTGTGTCCCTGGAGCTGGCATTTAATTTGGGTGCAGTGTTGCATGACCACGCAATTGTCAGTTAAAGTAACACAGCAGCATAATGCAAAAATTGGCCTGGACAAGAAGGGGGGTAAATCCTCAGGAGGGCAGGTGGCTAATGAGAAAAAAAAAATGAATTTAAACAAATGTAGTATCAGGCTGCAGCATAACAAAATTGAAAAAAGTGAAGGTGGTCTGAATACTTTATAAATGCACTGTATGTTTTATAATGTTGCTCCTGATCATTTCAGTACAACGGTGTTACATTTTGCATGCTTTTTGTGCAATGGCTTTAATTCATGTCCCTTGTCTTGTCCCCTCACTTAATAGGAGTCTGGAAGTGTCGCACGTATTAAACAGCCAAAGGCCAATTGAAGCAATGAATATTATTTTAGGAAAGTTCATCTTGAGGACAGACATCACGTTGATAAAAATGTGAGAAATTCAAGACGTTTTGACCCTTTTTGAAAATCCTGGTCCGTTCTCCTGTCAGGCTGTGTCCAGGGATTGTCTGTCTCTAGGCATATTGTCAATGGCAGCCCAAAGGAGGCGCTTGGTAAAAGAGTTCAATCCTTACGTCACTTGCTATATCTGCAAAGGCTATCTTATCAAGCCCACCACCGTCACTGAGTGCCTGCACACGTGTGAGTATTGCTTTAAAAATGTAGCACAAGACTCTTCAAAGGAGAGCAAGGATAACTAAAGCTGTTCGATGAAAACAAAAAGTAATACATTGCATCTTACCAGCCCATATATGTAGTGGCTTTCCTTTTACTTTAGGCTTTTTCGCCTTTATTTTTACTTGGTGATCCTGCCAGTAGCACATTGCATGTTCCAGGGTAACAACACTCATTTACCATACTGTATCTATGGAGGAGCAACATGGTCACCCTAGGACAGGACAACAGAACATTTCCTCTTCCCTTCTCTTCTCCATAATGTAGAGCAGGGGTCTCCAAACTTTTCAAGAAAAGGGCCAGTTTACTGTCCCTCAAACTTTAGGGGGGCTGAACTGTAGCCAGTTAGGATAGAAACGTCCTGGGTGCAGCATCAGTAATGATAAACATGGCCTCAGTGTTGGTGGTCATTAGGAGGAGCAGTAGAGCCCCATCATTGGTATTGGTGGGAGGAATAGTACACCATCGTTGGTATCAGTGGAAGAAATAGTGCCCCATCATTGGTATTGGTGGGAGGAATAGTGACCCATCATTGGTATTGGTGGGAGGAATAGTGCCCCATCATTGGTATTGGTGGGAGGAATAGTGCCCCATCATTGGTATTGGCGGGAGGAATAGTACACCATCATCATTGGTATTGGTGGGAGGAATAGTGCCCCATCATTGGTAAGGGTGGGAGAATAGTGCCCCATCATTGGTAATGGTGGGAGGAATAGTGCCCCATCATTAGTATTGGTGGTAGGAATAGTACACCATCATTGGTATAATTGGAAGAAATAGTGCCCTATTGTTAGTGTCAGCAGGAGAAATAGTGCCCCATCATTGGTAATGGTGGGAGCAATAGTGCCTCATCATTGGTAATGGTGGGAGGAATAGTGCCCCATCATTGGTATTGGTGGAAGGAATAGTGCCCCATCATTGGTAATGGTGGGAGGAATAGTGCCCCAGCATTGGTAATGGTGGGAGGAATAGTGCCTCATCATAGGTATTGGTGGGAGGAATAATGACCCATCATTGGTAATGGTGGGAAGGAATAGTGCCCCATCATTGGTAATGGTGGGAGGAATAATGCCCCCATCATTGGTAATGGTGGAAGGAATAGTGCCCCATCATTGGTATTGGTGGGAGGAATAGTGCCCCATCATTGGTAAGGGTGGGATGAATAATGCCCCATCATTGCTAATGGTGGAAGGAATAGTGACCCATCATTGGTATTGGTGGGGAGGAATAGTGCCCCATCATTGGTATTGGTGGGAGGAATAGTACACCATCATTGGTATCAGTGGAAGAAATAGTGCCCCATTGTTAGTGTCATCTGGAGAAATAGTGCCCCATCATTGGTAATGGTGGGAGGAATAGTGCCCCATCATTGGTATTGGTGGTAGGAATAGTACACTATCATTGGTATCATTGGAAGAAATAGTTCCCTATTGTTAGTGTCAGCGGGAGAAAATAGTGCCCCATCATTGGTAATGGTGGGAGGAATAGTGCCCCATCATTGGGTAATGGTGGGAGGAATAGTGCCCCAGCATTGGTAATGGTGGGAGGAATAGTGCCCCCAGCATTGGTAATGGTGGGAGGAATAGTGCCCATCATTGGTAATGGTGGGAGGAAAATTGCCCCATCAATGGTAATGGTGGAAGGAATAGTGCCCCATCATTGGTATTGGTGGGAGGAATAGTGCCCCATCATTGGTAAGGGTGGGAGGAATAATGCCCCATTATTGGTAATGGTGGAAGGAATAGTGACCCATCATTGGTATTGGTGGGAGGAATAGTGCCCCATCATTGGTATTGGTGGGAGGAATAGTACACCATCATTGGTATCAGTGGAAGAAATAGTTCCCTATTGTTAGTGTCAGCTGGAGAAATAGTGCCCCATCATTGGTAATGGTGGGAGGAATAGTGCCCCATCATTGGTAATGGTGGGAGGAATAGTGCCCCATCATTGGTATCAGTGGGAGAAATAGTGCCCCATCATTGGTAATGGGTAGGAGGAATAGTGCCCCATCATGGTATTGGTGGGAGCAATAGTGCACCATCATTGGTAATGGTGGGAGGAAAAGTTGCCCCATCATTGGTAATGGTGGAAGGAATAGTGCCCATCATTGGTATTGGTGGGAGGAATAGTGCCCCATCATTGGTAAGGGTGGGAGGAATAGTGCCCCATCATTGGTATTGGTGGGAGGAATAGTGCCCCATCATTGGTATGGTGGAAGGAATAGTGCCCCATCATTGGTATTGTGGGAGGAATAGTGCCCCATCATTGGTATTTGTCAGTGGGAAGAAATAGTGCCCCATTGTTAGTGTCAGCTGGAGAAATAGTGCCCCATCATTGGTAAATTGGTGGGAGGAATAGTACACCATCATTGGTATCATTGGAAGAAATAGTTCCCTATTGCTAGTGTCAGCGGGAGAAATAGTGCCCCATCATTGGTAATGGTGGGAGGAATAGTGCCCCATCATTGGTAATGGTGGGAGGAATAGTGCCCCATCATTGGTAATGGTGGGAGGAATAGTGCCCCATCATTGGTAATGGTGGGAGGAATAGTGCCCCATCATTGGTATCAGTGGGAGGAATAGTGCCCCATCATTGGTAATGGTGGGAGGAATAGTGCCCCATCATTGGTATCAGTGGAAGAAATAGTGCCCCATCATTGGTATCAGTGGAAGAAATAGTGCCCTATTGTTAGTGTCAGCGGGAGAACTAGTGCCTCATATCATTGGTAGGAATGGTGCCCCAGTGCCCCAAAAGCTGGATAAAGGCTAGTAAAGTGCCCTGCCACAGTTTGAAGACCTTTGATGTAGAGGGAAGTTGTTTTTTTGAATCCCACCGTACTTCCAATAATGTTTTTTGAAATAACACTGAAGTGTGTACAAGAAGTCAGGAGCTCACTGGATTTGTGGCAGGATTGACCGATATTTATGTACTTATCAAACAGATATATGAATATGCTTTCAATGATATATTTAACAGACCGAAAGGAAGCAAATAGGAAGTAATATAAAGTTCATGGATGGGGTTTACACACACTTTATGATTGTCTGGTTTGCTTTTGTAACTAGACATTCACTTGGTCCTTTTATTTTATTCTACTTTTCAGTTAGACGGTTATTGTTTTAGAGTATCTGTCTTTTACCCTTTCAGTGGCATCATTTTTGCATCAGTTTGTAAAGATAATGTGCAGTGAAAGTGATGTATGCTAGCAGCCTGTCACATTGACAGGAACAGAGTAAATCCTCTTCCCTTTTGATTTTCACAAGTCATTTAAGTAAATAATCCTCTTATCTGCTGACATGCAGATCTGTCCGGTAACCATTAAATATGTAAACTGTGTTCTCTGAAATAGGAAGTTTTTAAAGAGGTTTGTTTGTTTTGGGACAGCTGACTATCCCAATGCCCTAGTTTTGGTAATGTTTTATCACTTTTGCTTTAACATTGGTACCAGGTTGTACTGTTTGCTTTTTCAGTAATGCAGGCAATGATTCTCTCAGGACAACCTTCTGGAAGTGCACACTTTATACACTCACTGGCCACTTTATTAGGTACGCTTGTTCAATTGCTTGGTAACAAATTGCTAATCAGCCAGTCGCAAAGCAGCAACTCAATGTATTTAGGCATGTAAATCTGGTGAAGACGACTTGCTGAAGGTCATGCCGAGCATCAGAATGGGGAAGAAAGGGGATTTAAGTGACTTTGAATGTGGCATGGTTGTTGGTGCCAGATGGGCTGGTCTGAGTGATCTACTGGGATTTTCACGCACAACCATCTCTAGGGTTTACAGAGAATGGTTTGAAAAAGAGAAAATATCCAGTGAGTGGCAGTTGTGTGGACAAAAATGCCTTGTTGATGTCAGATAAGAATGGGCAGAATGGTTCGAGGAGGGTAGAAAGGCAATAGTAACAGCAAAAGGGGATCCAATTTGGTACTAGCAACGTGTACCTAATAAAGTGGCCGGTGAGTGTAACCTCTCCTATTTTACAAATCCAATGGTCACCTCCAACACATTGCTGACTATACCCCAGAACCATTATGTTGGCATCAGTGATGTTCTGGAGTTCCACCTGTTTAGATTTAAAGACTTTGTTGGGGCTGGCCATTTATTAGAGGACATTTGTGCTGCAATGGTTACCCATTAATTAGTTGTGTATGTCGTTAAATTATAATTAAAGGCAAAACTTTTTTTTGTTTTTTGGAGAGAGTGAATAGGGATTAGAACCCCTGTCACTTTTCTGTTGCTGTCTGTGTCCATATTAAGGAGATTCACCCTCTCCTTGTGCTGTTTACTATTGTCATTGAAAGTGAAAGAAATAGAAAAACCCAAATTTTGGGTTGTCCACAGAAAAGTAATAGAAGAGAAAGTCCTCCAATGGGGACACTATTTCTGGTGGCCTGGGAGTCTCCAAGGAATTCCATTAATCATTTGCAGTGATTTCCTCTCACTTCCAGCTTGGCTATGGGACAGGAAGTGAAGGGAAATCTCCACAATGGGACATGGATGGCGAAAAAAAAAATGTGACGGGTTATAGCCCTCCCTTATTCTGTCCAAAATGGGAAAAAAAAGATTTGCCTATAGTTCTAATTTAACAAATAGTCCATTCAGTACAGAGTATTAGTGTCTCAGCTGTTCAGACTTGTTAAATATTTATATGATCCTAACCTTGATCAAAACTGGAACATGTGAATGACTTCAGAAAAAGGCAACAGAATCATCTCACTATCAGGGGCGGACTGACCATTTGGAAACTCGGGCACTGCCTGACGGCCCGGGGTCAGTAGGGGGCCCCATGAGATGCCCCTGGTACCTTTTTCATAGGCTTTTTTGAGTTTGGGCAAGGACACAGGGGCCCCATGATCCCCTATTGCCCGGGGGCCCCATGAGTTGTCAGTCCACCCCTGCTCACTATAGTGTATCCATGGGAGTGGTGAGCATGATCTTATCACTGTGCTTTTTTCCTGAAGTGGAGGGGGCACAGGGTCTGGAAGTGCAGAGGTCCATCAGCACCTGTTCAGAAGAAGGAGGCACCTATATATCATATGAGTGGTCCTCATTCGGTGTCCTTTAGCACTTAGGTAGTATCAGTAGTCAATGGAACTTTCAGTTTAAATAAGCTAAATACTTTTCTTTTTAGTTGCACCCAAACAAAAGGTATTTGATGTCTTGCCGCTGCTCATTTTCTTTCTAAAGGCTCATGTACACTGCAGCTCCTATACTGACATTCAGGAGCTTCTCTGTGTTTTTTTTTAGCAGCCCCTGAACTGTCCCTAATGTTTTCCTATGTGTCCATTACACAGTCTTTACAGGCGGTTGAGCTTACAGTCGTTTTTTTTGAACGCACTAAACTTGCGTTCAGGAGTAGATTTTATCAGCGTTTCAAACACTTGTAAATGCGGCAAACTGCGTTTATAAGCGTTTGCGTTTTGAAGTGTTTTGTAACTGTTCCATATCCAGATGCTGTCCAGAGCCTTTTTTCATCATCAGAAACGCATGTAAAGTGTTTTCCATGTATTCAAATGGACCTAGTACACCAGTGCAGTCAGTTCCAGGAAAAAATGGTAGAATGTGCTGCATTATGCTCATGATGGGATCCATAGTGTATACAACCAGAAAAGACAGGTCATGTCAACACATACTGCTCTCTCTGCTTCTGCTCTCTCTATTTCTCTCAAAATGTCTGAAATAGTTAATTTTTTTACTGTTTTTAAGTGCATTCTGGGCATTTGGGAGGTCTCCTGAGGTTATCTTAAAAAAATGCTTCTAAACGCAAACATGCATAAACGAGGTATGCAAACGTGGCTAAACAGACGTTGTTTAGCCTATGTTTCCAGCAGTCAGTTTCCATCATTATGAAGAGTTTTCCAAATGTCCCGTGTACATGAGCCCTTAAGCAGCCACATCTGTTATCTACCAGCAGCTGCAGTGGGACCCCTGCTTTATATGAGGACATGGTGGTCTCATTGCAGAAGTCCGACACAACCCCTACTGATATTGCCAAATCTCTCCAATCAGCAAAGCTTATGTTTGCTGCTGGTTGGAGAGGTCTAGCTCTGACTCAGCAGGGGGCATGCAGGACCTCTGCAAAACTATTACTGCTTCTCCATAGAGAGCAATGGGCCCACTTTACAGCATGCTGGCAGGACACAGGCTTTTCTTATCAGGCTGTTGCTGATTTTTAGGGAAAACAAACTGTAGGAATTTGCACACCTTTTGTTTTATTTTGATACACCTGGAATGTAGTTAGGGAATTTAAAATGACGTTTCCTTTTGACTTTAACCTATTTAGTAATACTGTAGGTGTTTTAAGTGATGTTTTTCATATTCCTTACCATTTGTATATATGAATGTGGGTTATAGGCTGGCAAAGGTCCCTTATAAGTGTATGTGTGTGTGTATGTATGTATGTGTGTATGTGTGTGTGTGTGTATATATACAGTCAGGTCCATAAATATTGGGACATCAACACAATTCTAACATTTTTGGCTCTTTACACCACCATAATGGATTTAAAATGAAAAGAACAAGATGTGCTTTAACTGCAGACTGTCAGCTTTAATTTGAGGGTATTTACATCCAAATCAGGTGAACGGTGTAGGAATTACAACAGTTTGCATATGTGCCTCCCACTTCTTAGGGGACCAAAAGTAATGGGACAGAATAATAATCATAAATCAAACTTTCACTTTTTAATACTTGGTTGCAAATCCTTTGCAGTCAATTACAGCCTGAAGTCTGGAACACATAGACATCACCAGACGCTGGGTTTCATCCCTGGTGATGCTCTGCCAGGCCTCTACTGCAACTGTCTTCAGTTCCTGCTTGTTCTTGGGGCATTTTCCCTTCAGTTTTGTCTTCAGCAAGTGAAATGCATGCTCAATCGGATTCAGGTCAGGTGATTGACTTGGCCATTGCATAACATTCCACTTTTTTCCCTTAAAAAACTCTTTGGTTGCTTTTGCAGTCTGCTTTGGGTCATTGTCCATCTGCACTGTGAAGCGCGTCCAATGAGTTCTCAAGCATTTGGCTGAATATGAGCAGATAATATTGCCCGAAACACTTCAGAATTCATCCTGCTGCTTTTGTCAGCAGTCACATCATCAATAAATACAAGAGAACCAGTTCCATTGGCAGCCATACATGCCCACGCCATGACACTACCACCACCATGCTTCACTGATGAGGTGGTATGCTTAGGATCATGAGCAGTTCCTTTCCTTCTCCATACTCTTCTCTTCCCATCACTCTGGTACAAGTTGATCTTGGTCTCATCTGTCCATAGGATGTTGTTCCAAAACTGTGAAGGCTTTTTTACATGTCGTTTGGCAAACTCTAATCTGGCCTTCCTGTTTTTGAGGCTCACCAATGGTTTACATCTTGTGGTGAACCCTCTGTATTCACTCTGGTGAAGTCTTCTCTTGATTGGTGACTTTGACACACATACACCTACCTCCTGGAGAGTGTTCTTGATCTGGCCAACTGTTGTGACGGGTGTTTTCTTCACCAGGGAAAGAATTCTTCAGTCATCCACCACAGTTGTTTTCCGTCGTCTTCCGGGTCTTTTGGTGTTGCTGAGCTCACCGGTGCGTTCCTTCTTTTTAAGAATTTTCCAAACAGTTGTTTTGGCCACGCCTAATGTTTTTGCTATCTCTCTGATGGGTTTGTTTTGTTTTTTCAGCCTAATGATGGCTTGCTTCACTGATAGTGACAGCTCTTTGGATCTCATCTTGAGAGTTGACAGCAACAGATTCCAAATGCAAATAGCACACTTGAAATGAACTCTGGACCTTTTATCTGCTCATTGTAATTGGGATAATGAGGGAATAACACACACCTGGCCATGGAACAGCTGGGAAGACAATTGTCCCATTACTTTTGGTCCCTTAAGACGTGGGAGGCACATATGCAAACTGTTGTAATTCCTACACCGTTCACCTGATTTGGATGTAAATACCCTCAAATTAAAGCTGTTCGTTTCATTTCAGTCTGCAGTTTTAAAGCGACATCTTTATGTTTGTTTCTGTTTCTGTGTTCTAACTTGTAGTCAGTATACATGTATTTCTACAAGTATACTGAGTCATTTATTATATCTACATCTCCTGTGTTTTTTTTGTTTTTTTTTTATAAAGTTTGTAAAAGTTGTATTGTCCAACATTTTGAAGAGAGCAACGATTGCCCAAAATGTGGAAACCAAGTTCATGAAACCAATCCTTTAGAAATGCTAAGGTATGTAAATGCTTTTATTTTCCATTCTACAGAAATGCCATTGACTGTGCTTTTGTATTAAACCCTCTAATGCGCTGCGAGTGTTATTTTCTGCAATTCATTCATTCATTCATTCATTCGCTCATCTAACATTCATAAACAATATATATTTGTAGTTTTATTGATTTTTTATAATACTACTATGTATTTTATAATACTACCATAGGCTATGAATAATACTACCATGTGATGTGTGGAAGCCAGTTGTAGAAATCATCTCTTCTTTCAAACATTATGGTCATTCATGCGGTTATTAAAATTAGTATCCTGTGTGTGAGATGTAGATTTGTTCATCATGTGGTAAAGCTACAATGTTTTTTTCCAGCTCCTTTTTTTTTCCTCGTTTTCTGATGTGTTAAAGGATAAATTCACCTTTTAAGAAAAAAAATAATAAATGCACATTTGTTTTGCCGGTAAAATAATGTGAATTTACTATTTTTAGTTTTAAGAGCCTGGAGAGCATTGCACCAGTGATCAGCAGATTGCTGGTGCCATGCAGGTCTCCTGTAAAACTGTCAATCTGTTTGTCGGTACCTCATATGGGCAAGCAGTTTTATACTGGCAGGAAGAATCCATGAACTACCAGAGTGTTCAACAGCGACATAGTAGTTCATTGAGAACTACAAGCCAACAGCCACAAAGGCTGTCGGGACTTTTAGTTTCCCATTCACAGAAATCTGTGAATGAAAGATGCAGACGGGTGGGCAATTATTTAAAATGACACAGCAGATCTCAAAGTAAATACAGTTGCCGGTTATCGGCGGCACTTTCCTCACGCTGTCACAGTGTGAGGAAAGTACTGCCGATGACTGGCAAATGGTACAAAGCAGATCTACACTGATCATCAGTGCCCAGCAGTGCCACCCTCCAGTGTCCAGCAGTGTCACGTCCAGTGCCTGGCAGTGCCACCCTCCAGTGCCCATCAGTGCCGCCCAGCAATTGTGCCCATCAGTCTGTGCCGCCAGTCAGCGCTGTCAGTCAGTGCCGCCCATTAGTGCCCATCAGTGCCGTCTATCAATACCCATCATCAGTGCCTCTTCATCAGTGCCCACCAGTGCCACCTCATCAATGCCACCTCATCAGTGCAGCCTATCCGTGCCACCTCATCAGTGCCCATCAGTGCTGCCTATCTGTGCAGCCTCATCAACGCACATTATTGAAGGAGAAAAATTGCCTGTTTACAAAATTTTATAATAGAAATAAAGAAAAATGTTTTTTTTTTGCTTTTTTTTTTTATAGTGCAAAAAATAAAGATCCAGTGGTGATTAAATACCACCAAAAGAAAATTCTGTGTGAAAAAAATTATAAAAAATTTCACATGGGTACAGTGTTGCATGACCGCACAATTGTCATTCAAAGTGCAACAGTGCTGAAAGCTAAAAATTGGCCTGGGCAGGAAAGGGCTAAAAGTGCCTGGTAGGCAAGTGGTTAAAGAGAAGCAAAATGTCAATTTGCCCACGCATACAAATCTAAAGTTGGGGGATACAGATTACGTTTTGGTTTACCACCTGTATTTAAATGTGTTTGCAGATTGGACAGCAGGCATCATTAATGCTGTATGATGCAATGCAGTTCACACATCTGTGTGTATGTGTATATATATATATAGCTTCACCACTGACATTCAGTTTGCATTTCTATTTATAGATGTGCTACAGCTTTAGTTTCCCATGAACTATACTATCAATATTCTATTGTGCTCTGACTTGTGTTGTATTCCCTTTACTTACTAATGGTCTTCATTGGACAACAAAAATCTTAAGATGTCTACTTTTGCCTCATACCTGTAGGCAGGGCCATGGATAAGGGGTACCACCAGTCCTCCTGTACGGGCCCAGGCCAGCAGGGGGGCCCAGGCAGCTAGGTCATTCAGGTGTGGGCAGGGAGGGTGATTGGTGCAGGGGGGCATTACTGGAACCGATCCCCTGCATGGTTCTCTCTGCAAAAGCTGAAAGGTGGCTTCTTCGCCTCTCCCTCTAGCTGTCTTTCAGATGCTGCAGAAAGAGCCATACAGGGGATCTGTTCCAGTAATTTCCCCCTGCTGCACCTATCACCCTCCCTGTGCACCATACTTTTCCCCCTGCTGCCCAGCCCCCCCCCCCCCTGTGTGCCCTCACCCCTGTAGTGCCTCCGGATTCCCTCCTCTCCTTCCCACCAGCAGCTGCAAGCACACAATAGGATCCTTCAGGAAGGAGAGTGGGGGAAGGGTCTGGTAAATATGTCACATTTACCATCCCCTTCCTTTCCTAAATGAACACAGTGAGCGATTGGTACCGGTCAATCACTGTGCTCATTCATAACTAAAGCATACAGTTGCAAGAAAAAGTATGTGAACCCTTTGGGATTACGTGGAGTTTTGCACGAATTGGGCATAAAATGTGCTCTGAACGTCATCTAAGTCACAACAATAGAAGAACACAGTCTGCTGAACATAATACTACACAAACATTAGATGTTGCCATGGTTTAATTGCACATAACATGTAAACATTCACAGTGCAGGGAGGAAAAAGTATGTGAACCTTTGGACTTAATAACTGGTTGACCCTCCTTTGGCAGCAATAACCTCAACCAAACGTTTCCTGTAGTTGCAGATCAGACCTGCACAATGATCTGGAGTACTTTTGGACCACTCCTCTTCACAAAAACTGTTTCAGTGTAGCAATATTCTTGGGATGTCTGGTGTGAATCGCTCTCTTAAGGTCATGCCACAGCATTTCAATCGGGTTGAGGTCAGGACTCTGACTGGGCCACTCCAGAAGGCGTATTCTGTGCTGTTGCAGCCATTGTTTTGTTGAATTACTTGTATGCTTTGGGTCATTGTCCTGTTGCATCACCCATCCTCTGCGGAGCTTCAGTTGGCGGACAGATGGTCGTACGTTTTCCTGCAAAATGTCTTGATAAACTCTGGAATTCATTTTCCCATCAATGACAACAATCAGTCCAGGCCCTGAGGCAGCAAAGCAGCCCCAAACCATGATCTGTTTTTTTTTTTGGGGGGGGGGGGGCTCTGTCAGGTTGGCTGCATGGGGCCCCATGGTTTCTAACAGCAGCCCTGCCTATAGGAAAATAGAGCCTCGTACAGTGTATGCCCTATAGAGCGATAATATGGTTGCTAATGGATAAAATAAAAAGATATGTAACGTTTACTAAAAAACATTGTACATTGGTTTCCTAACTATTCACAAGACTAGATTTACTGGCCTGTATATGTTAAGGAAACTGTTTGGTTTTATTGTATCAGTTTTTTTGTTTATTTCAGAAAGGCAAAATGAGCTCATATTCCTCCATGAATTAGTGGATGCTGTCTGTCCAAATCCATTAGGGGAACATAGTAACAACAGGAAGCTCATTGTAGCTGAAATCCTCAAACTCTGCTCATAATTCTTACGTTATACCTAAAGTGTTACTAAATCCGTAACGATAAAATCAGTCCTACCTATAGGTAAAAGTTATAAAGCAGACTTTACTACCACTTTAAGGGAGGGGAGGAGAGCAGTGGTTCTGCATACGTGTTTGTGTGAGCATGGGCATGTTTGTCTCAATGCAGTCCTGTACACCATCATGTGCATGCTGGTTATGTCCACTTGGGCTCTGCACAGCCTTTTTTTTTCATTGGTTAGGTATCAATGGTGGTAATTTTCTTCTTTTTCATATGATTGAAAAAAATCTTAAAGAAGTGCCTATTACTTCAGCCTAAGCCCCGGTGCATGGCGCTCTGGTGTTTGGCTGTGATTGGAAGGCACAGATGTCCCGCCCAGCCCCTCCACTGACAGCCTGTCAAACTTTATGAGAAGATGACAGCTGCTGTGACTAGACAGGGCACCTACTGTAGTGTTACGAACTTCTGGGGCCGCATGTGCCCAGGGAATTCATCCCTAGGTGTATCCTGTCCTAAACCTTCATACCACTAGGTTACGGGTGTCAAACAGGCGGCCCTCCAGCTTTTGCCAAACTACAAGTCCCATGAGGCATTGCAAGATGGACAGTTACAAGCATGACTCCCAAAGGCAGAAGCATGATGGGACTTGTAGTTTTGCAACAGCTGGAGGGCCGCCAGTTTGACACCCCTGCAGTAGGTGCACCATCCAGCCACTGTTTGCCACTGGATTACTTTTACAGGTGGTGAAAGGGGGTCCCACCCTATTCTCGCTGCTACCCCCTTTACTGGACTCTCCTATGTGACTGGGGAGACCAGTAAAGATGTGAATAGCAGCATCTGCTCCCCAGGAACTGTTGTTTTTCCTCCCACCATGTGATGTCAGAAACTAGAAGCAACAAGGATTTTGTCATCTCCAGTTTAATTTCTGTGTTTACTAGCCAGTTACTGGCCAGCGAAGCAGCTGATCAGACTGATCTGTGTCTGGCTGGCTGCATTGGAGGCCATAAAGAGGACCTGTCATGGCCCATGCTCTCACAAAAGATGTTGTTTATCCATTCTGATAGCAATAAAATTGATTTAAAAATCAAAAATGAAGGTATAGTGTAAAAAAAGAAACCATTTAAACCCCCCCATCCTCCCGTGCTCGCACACAAAAGTGAATGCATTTGTTGGTCCCGCACGCATATGTAAACAGTGGTCGCAACACACATGTAAGATATCACTGCAAGCGTCAGATTGAGGGCAATAAGTCTAGCACCAGACCTCCGGGGTAACTCTAAACTGGTAATCTGTAAAAGCTTTAAAAAAAGTCACCTCTTGATAATTTAAACTACCTTGGTTTGCCATCATTCCATGGGCGTGTGCAATTTTAAAAGCATGACATGTTTGGTTCCTGTTTACTCAGCGTAACATCATCTTTTACATTTTACCAAAAAGTCTGGTATTATATTGCAACTGAAATTGCTGTTGGGTTTTAGCAAAGGTAAATTTAATTAACGCAGAACAAATATATCTTTCCAAAAAATCTTCATCTACTAATTTGTTTCTATAATTTTCAGTTTTCCATTTTGTCACGAAGTATATTATAGACAAGAAAAACAACAAATTCCTTACCATAATCTGTTGTCACTTTTGTACCTTCTAATAATAGCATCTGTCAGCACATCCCAAAATCTGAATTTTAAAGGATAAGTTCAACTTTCATAACATATTCAGGATGTAACATGTTATGAAAGGAGCGGCCCCCGCTCCCCCATTTTGACAAGCTGTAAAAATTTAGAAAAAAAGGTGGCCGTGCATGGGCTCCACCCGCCCGGCCACAGCACTCATTTACAGCTCTCCGTGATTGAGAAAACTACAAGTCCTGACAGCCTTAGCAGCTGTCGGCATGTAGTTCTCAATGAACTACCATGGCGCTGTGGAGCACTGTGGTAGTTCATTTAGTCGTCTTGTCAGAGTGCATCGGCTTGCTCGTATGGGATGCACAAGCAAGCAGATATACTGACAAGTCTGCAGGAGTCCTGCATGGCACCAGCGATTTGCTGATTACTGGTGCAATGCTTTACAGGCTCCTGCAACAAAAAATAATAAATGCGTAATTTATTACCTGCAAAAAAATGTGCATTTATTTATTTTTTGGCAAAAGGTGAACTTATCCTTTAAATCTGCTGTACTCCCAGCTTCCATTATGTGTATGGCTACATTCGATCCACATAGTCCCACTGTATGTGGGAACATAGCCACCCTCCTCTGCTCACAGTATCACATGCCAACACAGCCAGCACGTAATACCACAGAAAACCCCCCTTTCATAAAATCCCATTAATAAAATGGGGACACGTGTGCAGTGCAATAGACAGTATTTTGTAGTAGCAGTGCACCTGACCGCAGTATACAGTATGTGTACGGCTTGTAACCAGGGACAGGAAGCGAAGAGAAAAAAACCTCCTTCAGTGGTGCTCAAGAGATAACAGCACTTTAAAAAAAAAAACAGCATGTACATTTTGTGTGCAGATTCCGATATAGTGTGAAGGACATTATGCTGTCATTGAGTTTTTTTGGTATGGAAGGTTTAATGACATTTTAACGATCTTTCAATATTTTGCGTTTTAGTACTGCTATTATTATTGTTAGGTAGTACAATCAGGAAATGCATCTGTTCACTTGATTTTTTTTTTTTTTTTAATTCAGGCTGGATAACACACTTGAAGAAATTATATTTAAATTAGTGCCAGGACTTCGGGAAAGTAAGTGTTGTATTTATACTTTGGGAGTTGTACTGTTCTGTTGTCCGAAGCTAACTTTTTGGTTACTGTTAAATAGGAGAACAAGACCAAGAAACTGAATTCTGGAAAAGGAAACGTCCAGAAGAAAGTGGAGAAGGTATTTTATGTGGTTGCATGTTTTATTGTTTCATAGGAAAAACAGTTTTTGACAATCCGCAACACAATTAAAGTTGAATTCCAGCCATACCATCAGTCTTGCGCAGTTGTACAGGTTCATCTCTTGTACTAAAACATGGCTTACTCTGATTTCACTATATGGTGTGAGCTTCTAACTGTTGTATTAGAAGTTGTAGCAACTCCAATAGAGACTGCCTCATTTTCTGGCTGAACGACTCCCAGCATTATCTAACCATTTCCTCCCCATCCTTAGGGCATCTGGCCCCACCCCTTTTATTAACTGGATTTTAGTTCTTTCAATGGAGGCTCAGCATCACAAGTAGGTGTTACCTAGAGTGGTCTGTATGCTGAATGCAGCCTCTCTAGAAATGCCCACTCCTTCAGTCTGCCATTTATATCAATGCATTTTGATATTTGCACAATTCCCACCATGATCTAGCCCAGGGCTTGAAAAAGCTGCTCGCCAAATGCGAGGAGAAATTCCTCTGTGGCGAGCGGCGAGCAGCGAGCACAGATGAAACATGGAGCGACTGCACCTGCGCTCCCAGCCTCTTTGTGAAGCCGAGTTTCCCGGTTTACCACTTCCGGTTTACGGCTTCTGCGGCACAGGTGGGGACAGGTGCAGGAGAGGTCCGCTCTCCTCCGCTGAGAGGAGACACCCTCTCCACTGCCGTGGGGGACTCGGGGGGGACAGTAAGTACTGTATACAACATGTCATATCACTATAATGGAGTACAGGGGAGCTGGGATATACATTACTGTATACATGTCATATCACTATAATGGAGTACAGGGGAGCTGGGCTATACATTACTTTATACATGTCATCACTATAATGGAGTACAGGGGAGCTGGGCTATACATTACTTTATCATGTCATCACTATAATGGAGTACAGGGGAGCTGGGATATACATTAATGTATACATGTCATATCACTATAATGGAGTACAGGGGAGCTGGGATATACATTACTGTATACATGTCATATCACTATAATGGAGTACAGGGGAGCTGGGATATACATTACTGTATACATGTCATATCACTATAATGGGGTACAGGGGAGCTGGGATATACATTACTGTATACATGTCATATCACTATAATAGAGTACAGGGGAGCTGGGATATACATACTGTATACATGTCATATCACTATAATGGAGTACAGGGGAGCTGGGATATACAGTTGCAAGAAAAAAGTATAGTGAACCCCTTGGGATTACGTGGAGTTTTGCATGAATTGGGCATAAAATGTGCTCTGAACGTCATCTAAGTCACAAACAATAGAAGAACACAGTCTGCTGAACATAATACTACACAAACATTAGATGTTGCCATGGTTTAATTGCACATAACATGTAAACATTCACAGTGCAGGGAGGAAAAAGTATGTGAACCTTTGGACTTAATAACTGGTTGACCCTCCTTTGGCAGCAATAACCTCAACCAAACGTTTCCTGTAGTTGCAGATCAGACGCTGCACAACGATCTGGAGTCATTTTGGACCACTCCTCTTCACAAAACTGTTTCAGTGTAGCATATTCTTGGGATGTCTGGTGGTGTGAATCGCTCTCTTAAGGTCATGCCACAGCATTTCAATGGGGTTGAGGTCAGGACTCTGACTGGGCCACTCCAGAAGGCGTATTCTGTGCTGTTGCAGCCATTGTTTTGTTGAATGACTTGCATGCTTTGGGTCATTGTCCTGTTGCATCCCCCATCCTCTGCGGAGCTTCAGTTGGCAGACAGATGGTCGTACGTTTTCCTGCAAAATGTCTTGATAAACTCTGGAATTCATTTTCCCATCAATGACAACAATCGTCCAGGCCCTGAGGCAGCAAAGCAGCCCCAAACCATGATGCTCCCTCCGCCATGTTTCACAGTGGGGATGAGGTTTTGATGTTGGTGTGCTGCGCCTTTTTTTCTCCACACATAGTGTGTGTTCTTCCCAAACAACTCAATCTTGGTTTCATCTGTCCACAGTATATTTTGCCAGTAGTGCTGTGGAACATCCAGGTGCTCTTTTGCAAACTTCAAACGTGCTGCAATATTCTTTTTGGACAGCAATGGCTTCCTCCGTGGTGTCCTCCCATGTACTCCATTCTTGTTTAACGTTTTCCTTATTGTAGATGTGTCAACAAAAATGTTAGCATGTGCCAGAGATTTCTGTAGGTCTTTAGCTGACACTCTGGGATTCTTCTTTACCTCATGCAGCATTCTGCGCTGTGCTCTTGCAGTCATTTTTTACAGGACGACCGCGCCTAGGGAGAGTAGCAACAGTGCTAAACTTTCTCCATTTTGTAGACAGTCTGTCTTACCGTGGGACATATGAACATCAAGGCTTTTGGAGATACATTTGTAACCCTTTCCAGCTTCATGCAAGTCAACAATTCTTGATGGTAGGTCTTCTGAGAGCTCTTTCTGCGAGGCATGGTCCACATCAGACAGTGCTTCTTGAAACCAGTAAACCCAAAACAGGTGTGTGTTTTTTTAAGGGCAGGACAGCTGTCAGCAACACATCCAATATCATCACACTGATTGGAGTCAAGGTTGGCTCACTCCTGGCTCCAATTAGCTCTGGGAGAAGTCATTAAGCCTAGGGCCTCACATACTTTTTCCTCCCTGCACTGTGAATGTTTACATGTTATGTGCAATTAAACCATGGCAACATCTAATGTTTGTGTAGTATTATGTTCAGCAGACTGTGTTTCTTCTATTGTTGTGACTTAGATGACGTTCAGAGCACATTTTATGCCCAATTCATGCAAAAACTCCAGGTAATCCACGGGGTTCACATACTTTTTTCTTGCAACTGTACATACTGTATACATGTCATATCACTATAATGGAGTACAGGGGAGCTGGGATATACATACTGTATACATGTCATATCACTATAATAGAGTACAGGGGAGCTGGGATATACATTACTGTATTCATGTCATATCACTATAATGGAGTACAGGGGAGGGGGGGATATACATACTGTATACATGTCATATCACTATAATGGAGTACAGGGGAGGGGGGATATACATTACTGTATACATGTCATATCACTATAATGGAGTACAGGGGAGGGGGATATACATTACTGTATACATGTCATATCACTATAATGGAGTACAGGGGAGGGGGATATACATACTGTATACATGTCATATCACTATAATAGAGTACAGGGGAGCTGGGATATACATTACTGTGTACAGTTTTATATTTTGGACACTTTATTCTAAAGAAAAATTTAATTTCATAAGCTTGAGGGGGCGTGGCTGGGGGGGGGGGGGGCCGGGGGGGGGTTGGGGGCAGGCCTGGGCAAGGTTGGGTGGGGCACCTTGTGGAGAGTAAGTTTTTTGTGACCGGCTAGTAGATCTGGACTCGAAATTTTAACCCCTGTAGCCCACTGTTTGCATCAGGGCTGAGAGCTCTTGAGAGGAGTGCTGGGAAAGGGTACTGTGATGTTTTCAGGAAGCTGTGTACAGCACCCCACCAGCCATGATCTGCCTACATTCTGCATTTTAGAGAAGCACAGAGACCTAGTAATAACATCCCAGGGACTTAAATAAGGTATGTATTGAAAACAGAAGGATATAATTTAAAAAGTCCATTAGCATGATGATTGGGAAAAGGAGGGGGCAGGGGGGAGGCACCATGGAAAACAATATATTAACTTCTTGGCGCTGACCGTACGCAGATATTTGGCCTCTCGGCGGCCGGGCCTTTGCGCCGAGGGGCCGCTGTTTGTGTACCTAATGTAAACAAAACATATTCCGAGAGTGCACGCCCAGTGCCTCATGGATAGGTCCAGATCGCTACTTGCGGTCGGGAGCTTTCTGATCATATGGCCATCATGACAGCCAATCATGGAGGTCACATGACCCTAAACCCCACCTCCCGGCATCACAAACCCCTTAAAGGGCCGTGAGGTGCTGGCGGCAAGAGGTTAAACTTCACCTTTAAATTATGTGCCATCTTAGCATTTTGAACAGTCATACCAATTCATTGATGGCATTGATAATTCGAAATTCTTCTAAAGCCCCGTGCACATGATGAGATGAGAATATCGGGTGGATGATCGTCCGTTTTTTTTTTTGCATGCTAGTCTCATATCGAAGTGAAGAGGCTAATAAAGTTACGAAAATTCTTGTATGACAGAATAATCTAAAGTGATGTAATGTATTGTATTTGTATTTTATTAACGAAAATTGGACCGATTAAATGAAAATCATAGGATCTGGTATCGTACCAGAAAACTTTTGTGCTTGTCCCTTCTAATAATTTCAGATGAAAGCTGTGTACTAACAATCAGATTTTTCGTACAATCGCTTCGAAAGCTATATTTTTTGTTCGATTTTCTAATCATGTGTACTAGGCTTAAGATTTTAATTGACCAATGCAAGAGAAGTGTCATTTTGATTGTTTAAATTCTGGTGTGGCAGAGGGCAATTTTTTGTTTCATTAGTACACTTTCAAGGCAGTTGCTTCCATGGACCTATGTGGTCTGGACTCAATGTATGGCCAAGGACCCTAGCTCCTTGTTAACCAATCCATCTGTTCATCCATTCATCTCCAGGATGAGCCTCTTCGCTGTCCATGTGCAGAGAATACCTTGGCTCAGATACTGATCAGCAGAACTCCCATGCAGGAAATGCCTCAAGTGTTTGCCATTTCAGGGAGAATGCCAGTTTCCTTGGATATATCAAAGATCATAGGAGTTAACAACACTCTCCTCCCTCAGAAAAAGGAGGCTCATGCTTCTGAAAGTAGACCTTCTACCCCTGAAGCTAAGAATAGTTTGTTTCTTTCTCCTCAGGCCTATAATTCAAAGTGTAAGTCTGGAACAAACTTTTAGAAAATGTGGTCCTCTAAGACAGCTAAGTCTGGCTCTCAGTGATAGGGTGTCCCTACTATTCAGAGTCAGGGTATGTCTGTTGGCTTTTTTTGGCTTTCTGCTCCAAGGAAATCTCTAATGTTTTGGTCTCTAGATTGTCAGTTACAGGGTCTACAAACTGGAGTTTCAACTTTGTCTCCTCCTGGTTACATGTTTTCAAATTTGCCTCTCTCCCTGCAAATCTGGGGGTCATCGCCCCTGTCCTGAATGAAGAATGCTTTCAGGATTTCTACTTGAATCTGTTCACAGTTCCCAAGCCAATGGACAAGTTTGAAGAAATGTCCCTATGTCCTACTTTTGCTCATTCTGGATTTGAAAACTCACAACTTGTACCTGTGGGTATGTGCTTGGAATAGGCCAGGTCAATCATTGCCTCCCTTTTTCCAGGGGCCTTTTGTCACAGGGGGAGGACATCGGACATGGATCTCTTGGCGTCCAGATTCAATGAAAAAACCAGACAGGTTTGTTGACCGGTCCAGGGATCCTCAAACATTTGCAGTGGCTCAGTGGGATCAGTTCCACTTGATCTATGCCTTTCCATCTCTCCAGCTTTTCCATCATTTGCTCCACAGGATAGAGATAAAGGGCATTCAGGTGATTCACACTGCACTGAACTGGCCAAAGGTGTGGTATTTAGACATACTCAGACTCCTAGCAGACTCCTCTTGATCCCTTCTGGATCATCCAGATCTTCTGCCCCAAGGGCTGGTCTACCATCCTGCTTGCTGGTCACTGGTTTTACCAGCTTGGCTGTTGAAGCCCGGGTCTTGAGAGGCATGGACATATCAGATTCAGCCATCTTTACCCTTCTGAAGTGGTTGTTAGTACTGCTATATATATTGTTGTCTTCTATTATTTGGACAGATGACGAGGTATATATTTATAAATGTACTTTTTCCCGCAGCAACTAGTCCAACAGTTCTTTTCCAGAGAGATACATTTATTTGGATAAAGATATTTGTTACAGATGACAGAAATCCAGCTGAATACGTAAATATTACAATGAACAACAGCCCGCAGAATCCCATTTAAGATACTACACCTCCAGCATATGTCCAATCTATAATATGCACCTACAGTTGTGTCCAAAATTATTCAACCCCCACTGAAATTGAGTGTTTTGGCCAGTTTCACATTGCTTTTGATCATTCAGTCATCTTGCTTACATTTACATTAAAGAGGCACTTGTAGGTCAGACAAATATAACATAGTTATAATGAAATAACCACAAATGTCTTTTCTGTGCTCACAGCATTATCAGTTTTATTCAACCCCCAAGTGACATTCAATCTTAGTACTTAGTACAGCATCCTTTTACAGTTATAACAGCTTTTAAACGTGAAGCATAGCTTGACACAAGTGTCTTGCAGCGATCTACGGGTATCTTCGCCCATTCTTCATGGGCAAAGGCCTCCAGTTCAGTCACATTCTTAGGCTTGCGCACTGCAACTGCTTTCTTTAAGTCCCACCAGAGTTCTCAATCGGATTTAAGTCTGGTGACTGCGATGGCCACTCCAAAATGTTCCAGCCTTTCCTCTGCAACCATGCTCTAGTGGACTTGGAGGTATGCTTGGGATCATTGTCCTGTTGAAAGGTCCAACGTCTCCCAAGCCTCAGGTGTGTGACGGACTGCATCACGTTTCCATCCAATATCTCCTGGTACTGAAGAGAATTCATGGTACCTTGCACACGCTGAAGCTTCCCTGTACCTGCAGAAGCAAAACAGCCCCAAAGCATGATTGACCCTCCACCATGCTTCACAGTAGGCAAGGTGTTCTTTTCATCATAGGCCTTGTTCTTCCTCCTCCAAACATAGCGTTGATCCATGGGCCCAAACAGTTCTAATTTTGTTTCATCAGTCCACAGAACACTATCCCACAACTTTTGTGGTTTGTCCACATGGCTTTTGGCATACTGCAGTCGACTCTTCTTATTCTTTGGAGACAGCAAGGGGGTACGCCTCCTGGGAGTTCTGGCACGGAGGCCTTCATTACGCAGTGTGCGTCTTATTGTCTGGGCTGAAACTTCTGTACCCACATCTGACAAATCTTTTCTCAGTTCCTCAGCAGTCACACGGGGACTTCTCTCTCTCCACTCTACGCTTCAGGTAGCGCACAGCAGTCGAAGTCAGCATCTTCTTTCTGCCACGACCAGGTAGCGTTTCAACAACAGTGCCCTTTGCCTTGAATTTGCGAATGATGCTTCCTAAGGTGTCTCTTGGTATGTTTAACATCTTTGCAATCTTCTTATAGCCATTGCCCTTCCTGTGAAGAGAAATCACCTCTTCTCTTGTCTTCCTGGACCATTCTCTTGCCTTCACCATGTTTGTAACCACACCAGTAAATGTCTAGAAGGAGCTGAGTATCACAGTCATTTTAAAGCTGCCTAATTGGTGCTTATTATGCTTGATTGCTGCTCGTGTGACATCCACAGGTGTTTTCAATACCTGATGGAAAGCACCTGTATGAACCTCTGTTCTTCAGAGTGGTAGTCTTTAAGGGGTTGAATAATTGTGGCAATGAAGAAACCACATAAGAACCATTTACTACTGTATTACATAAACAATTGATGTCATTTTAGTTGCATTTGGGTAGTTACAACGTCCTTGTAGGATTTGATTCTGAATACAATTCCAAATGTACACTATAGTCCCTAAACCCCTTTACAGCATTGGGGGTTGAATAATTTTGGACACAACTGTAGGTAGCTTCCATGCATGCAATAATGCGAGTTATGATCTATACCTGTGCTTCCATATTAATGACAGAAAAAAGCTCCTCATATACACAATTCTCCCAATTCAGTAGAATGGCAAGCACTCTGACTGGCCACTTTTAGTAGCCCCTTTGATCTTCTGGGTGACAGGTAATGCCTTTTAGGCTTGAACAGCTGCAGTCATAATTCAGATATTTCCTAAACTGCATTCTTTTACCATTAATTAGAAAAACAATAATTCTATTTACCAAACTTAATTCTGACTGAACAATCTGCATTTATCACCCTTGCAAAGTTTTGCAAATTACATCCTTTGAATTGTAACAATGTGACCCCCAAGTGCCAAGGTGATATTGCATAAAATTAACATAGCAAAGAGTCTTGGCTATCCTTTTGTTGTGTAAAATACATCTAGCTCAGTCCTATGCTGTCCCTGGTCCATAACATGAGAATACACCACATACAGTATATATATATATATATATATAGTATATATATATATATATATATATATATAAAAATTACAATATCCCTACATATGTGGACTGCTGTATTTGTATTAATCTGGCTTATCTTATTCTTGTGTCCTTGTACAGTATTTACATTGGTGGTTAAAATGCTGACATTGTGGGGAAGAAGTACTTTAATGTAACCAATGTTATGAGATAATACATTTTTTTAGCAGATCAGGAAGTATTAACTTCCTGAAATGAGCTATGAACAATGAGTGCTCTTCACACTGCCCACTCTAATAATGAGTGAACTTTAGGAAGCAAGAATGGTAAATAACATTTAAACTTCTTTCTATTTTACAACTCTGAATGAGAGTGACGTTTTGGCAAATGTGATAGTTAATATGCCACTTTGGCTCAAAGTATCGGTCTCTGAACAATAGGCCAGAAGGTAACTGCAGAGAGGAATTAGGAACAATGTGTATGGTAAAAAAACAACATTACACTTTTTTTTTTCAATGTGAATGGGGAAATTCCTCTCGCAAAGGCTCTGTATCCACCCTCCGGCAGCACTGATCAGGCAAAAAAAAAAAAAGAAAGTACCGTATATAATAATTTCTTAACATTTGTACGTGGTTTTTTTTTGTTTCCTTCTGTAATATATGAAAATTTACTGTAATTAAACAAAGAATTTAAAAATTACCTTTAGTAACCCTTTAAGTATTTTTTTTTCTGTGGAACCCTAATTTTGTGAGCAGTCCCTGGATCACTCATTTATCCGATTCCCAGAGACAGAAAGGTGAGACATCCTCAGTATCATTTGTGGCAAAAAATGAGTTTAATTCTTGTGAGATTTGATTGTTATAAGTTGGTTCTTGTAAAAGCGTTTCATTCAACTTCCATTGCCACGTACGGGCGAAGAGTTATTTTGCATCACCTTTGAGTTCTCAGCTTACAACATGACAGTTTACATGTTAGCAGAATAAACTGGCGGATGAAGGTTTAAAGAATATTAAATAGACATAATTCTAAAATGTAATTATTTTTAATTGTTTATATTTCTGTTTAACAGATGGACATCCAGACAATAAAAGGCTTAAGGATGACGAAGAGGAGAATGACGAAAACAAAGACTACCACAGAAGCGACCCCCAGATTGCCATCTGTCTTGATTGTCTACGGAATAATGGCCAGTCTGGGGAAAACATAGTAAAGGTAATTGCAGTTAGTTGGTAATGTTCTCCAGTACCTAACCTTCCAACAACTGTCCAACAACTGGGCATGTTTAGCAGCTCTTTTCCTTTTGGTGGCATTTTCAGGAATTGGATGATGAAATGATGACCTAGAATGACAACAGTAATATCTGTCCTGAAGCAGTAGGGCACCATTCACACTATGGCATTTTGAATTGGGGGAAGAATTGCAATGATTCTGCTCGTGATTTTAAAACGCTTTCTTAAATAACAGATCACACAACAGTTTGTTCAGGTGACATTAATTTTAATGGCACCTGAAAATGTAGTACGTTCAGCCATAAGTGTTGCGCGATAAATCGCAATGCACAAAGCGTGTCGCCCAAAAGAAGCTCCTGAACTTCTTTTTGGTGACGCGCTTCGCATGATGCGGTTTAGTCCTGCAGAACTGTTCCTTGTTTATAGGTGCATTTAAAATTAATGACACCTGAACACACTTTTGTCGTAGCGATTCTGCTCACTATTCAAAATATATAGTGTGAATGGGGCCTAAGGACGTCCATAGACGAGTTGAAAGCTGAGCGATTTTCTATCTTAACAAAACATTTTGAAATCGCAGGCTAAATCTTGGTGATACTGCCCGCAATTCAAAACGGCATAGTGTGAATGGGGCCTAAGGCTGGTCATAGACAAATCAAAAACCAAATGTTCTTTAGATCAAAATGGCAAATACAATTATGCCATCATTTGTTTTGTTTTTCTAAATAAAAATCCAGGATGTTGGATTAGGCACTTTAGATTGCAGTACGAAAATCATGAGTCGCAGCTGGCACACTAATGATGTGGAAAACAAACCATCTGACAATCGGCAAGAATTTTCGTTCGGTTTTCGACTTGTAAAATGAACACAAGTGAAAAGTTCAGTTCAGCATTGAAAAATTTGGAAATGTGACTAGAGGATTTAAATTTTATATTTAAACTTAAAGGAGAAGTACAGTGAAAGCACCTTTGGCTGTACTTCTCTTGTGGATTACAGTAGTGCAGTTCGTTCTGCACTCCTGTGACCCATTTTCAGCTAACAGCAGGCTGAAGCCCACTGTTGGCTGGCGTTTCTCAGCCAGTCTAGGCTGGGGAAAGAGTCCAACTTTAAAGTTGGGATATACCCCAGAGTCTAGAGAGGCATTTGGTTCAGCCTCTCAATGAGCCGCTGAGAGCTTGAGCCAGCCGCTCCCTCCCCCTCCACAGCCCAGCGCTCCAGTGAGTGTGAGGGAACCGAGTAGACAACGGTGACTGAAAGAAACCACTCTCTGGTCACAGCAGCTTTGAGAACTCAGTGATCACCCTTAGAGTAGGCGAGGGACTGATGCAGCATTAACCGAATGCAGTGTGGGAAACCCGCGTTCCATGCATGTTTCCCGCACTGTGTTCAAAATACACCCCAGTTGCGATCTGCAACTGGGTTTTAACAACATCCAAAACACAGGTTGCAAACGTAGTGTGTTTGCCTGCACTGGATCACATTGTACAGAAGTGAGATCTGGTTGCAGTGAGTTTCTAAAGAGGTACATGCACTACTTCTGGTGCGGTGTGGTGCAGTGCAATTTGAACACATTCAGAATGCATGGACTCAAATTGCACTGCACTGATCCGCATGAGAATCGTACAGAAACACATTAAGCTTTCCTATGCCAATTCGTAGTGTGAACTGGCCCCTATAGTTAGTGCATTTAAAAATACATCCCTAATCCTCTAGGAATCTTGGTTATATACCTCTTGTTCTATACCTCTGGTTATATATCTATGGTTACATACCTCATACCCCCAGCTGCAGACAGCCCTGGATGCAGGCAGTTTGCATCCAGGGCTGATCGACAGCATGTGATCGCTGCATGAATGATTACATGCAAGGGGCTGCAATTAGCTAAGGGAGCCAGGTGCCTCACATTGCTTTCAGTGGGACTGCCTCCCACAGCTAATCATGGGAGCCCCCGCTGGGGTTCTTGCATCTAACTGGAGTGTCGGTGCATTCACAGGTGTGAATGCAACCTTAATGTTTACCATAATTAACCCTGTTGCACTGTGCTGGCAAATCTCATTATTAGTTGTAAACTAGATTTCAACACTGTCTATCTTAAAAAAGTCAATGTTCAAACAATAGCAATGTTTCCTAACCCATTTTAGTCTTGGTGCAATTTAAAAGTATGCACAATCTTGAAGCACATCTGTCTTAAAATACAGCCCCTCTAGATTAGATTAGAAAAGCAGTCCTGAGAGTACAGCATGCAGGGGTCAGGAAAGTGTAAAGTACAGAGTGTAGGGGTTAAGAGGAAATATAAAGTACACAAATACTCACACACACATACGTACACTCACATACATTCTCATACACACATACAAAAAAAAACCCTGATTTTTACTGTACTTGACTGACTCAGATGCCTTCTTCACTTGGCTGATATTCACTTTCAGCACCCTCATTGCTGGGTAAAATGTTTGTTCACAAAGCTGGGAGCAGAGCTGGTCGCCACTTGGAAAGCAACCTTCTCCCGCCATCTTGTCCCTACTGTGGGTTTGATTGGCATACAACTATAATGGCCCTGCCTAAACTTGGCCTAATTGAACTCCCACTCTGTGCCGACATACAGTTTGGTGCCTCTCTGCCTTAAATTTCTAACCTAGTCTTCTCATCCAAGATGCTGTATCAATACCCAGAAGGCACCCAAATTTAAAGCCTGGGAATTTAAGTTGGGAAATTCAACTTCTTGTATTGTAAGTTAAAGAGGAAAAGCTCAGTGTGTCCCCAGTCGGTGCGAGGACAGAATCACTGTGACATTGTAGAGAGTAGCTTGCAGTTTCCTCCAAACAAATATTAAAAAAGAGTTTTTTTTTAGTGAGTGAATGGGAACAATAAAAACATTTTTTAGGTATTCTGTGTGAATGGGAACATATAGATAGACATATAGTGGGGTGGTTTTCCCAAAAATGACTGCAAAAGGTGGAAATACACTTTAAGTTCCCTTAAATTTGAATTAGAGTTGTAAAGGACCTGCTCAGTACAACTAAAACGAAAGTCTAAGCTAACACCGACTTTAATGCCCAGAAAGTTTATTTCCAGTGGTTTGTTTTTTGAAGGGTCCCTCAATTCATCTCTTTCTTTTCTGGAAATTCAACGGGGTGTGAGTTTTTTTTTTTACACTCAGATATTCTCAAGGTACAACTGGTGGTATGACTAATAACACAGGTAAAATATTTTATTACAAAAAGCACTGCAGTTTTGTGTTTTATGACCTTTTGGTCACTTCTTCCAGTTGTACATTGTGAATCTACCCTGGTGATCCTGTAAATTTCCCTGGGTTACTATTTCTAACTGACCACAACTAGCATGGAAGGACATTTGCGTCCCTGCAATCACTGTTGGGAGTTGCAGAACACTGTGCTGATGCATGGTGTGCCTGTATTTCCTGTGGTCAGTTGTGTGGCCACGCCCCCTACAAGCTCCTATTTATCTAGTAAGGAGGCAGTAGGCAGAAAATGTGGTCACTTTCAAAACAATTTGCCAGTCGGAGTGTAAATGGCTGAAAGGGTACAAAAAAGGTTATAAAAAAAACGTATCATCTCACTATCAGAAAGAAGAGATCGCTGGGGAAGGAGGAAATAATGTTTGGGAAAATCAAAGGAACCAGGTGAGGAGGGAGACTGATCATTAGATGGTTGGCACATTGACTACAGCTGTGGGGATGACACTGGAGGATCTCACACTACTGCTGTGGGGATGAAGACTACACAAAGCAGACTGCTTTTTAGAGCTCTTATTAATCATGTCACTAGGACTCAGACTCGAGTCAATATTGCATTATCCACTGACCTGGCAGGTGAAAACCTTATGCTTTCCTGTTTGTAGTCAATACTCAAATGCAGCTTTTTTCATACAAACAAATCACCCCAGTCCAATTGTAGGAAAACAAGTGTCTGGTGTTATGTGCTTGATACACTGTCCGAGCCCTGGCTGGTGGCTCATTGCTGTGCTGGTGGATAGAACACACTTTGCTTGGTGGCACCACCTATTGGCAAAGCATTGAAGAAATTCCCTGATTAAGATAGCAAAACCCATTGAAATGTAAATGCATCAGAAGTGATCCTGGGGTACTGGGTGATGTCACCAAGCAGAGTGGCTTTGGCCTTAGAGACAGCCGTTCTATCCATCAGTAATGGTGTACCTGTCATTGAGCCATTGACCAGAGCTCTGACAGTGCATCAAGCACATCATTTCAGGCACACTATGGCCTTCCTGCAATTAGACTGATTTTCATGTATACTCTTCGTCTTGTGTTAGGGTCGGCACAGACCCATTTTTAGGTTTTAATTGCATAAAATAACCATATCAATTTGTTTATTGCAGCAAGGCTTTATGACTTTGTCAGGAACCTCTATTTCAGCAAAATAAAAAAAAATAGTTTTCACTTAATTATAAAATGCTCAAGTTGAAATTATGACCTTTGTGTTGTTAGGGTCGGTTTCGACCCAGTTATAGAAATAAAGATTATAAAGCAATAATTAGAGCCAAGACTGAAATCATAAGTTCACTGTCAACCAGCACACTGACAGCCAGCTCCTCTCCCAATCATGTGAGCTTTAGGGGATTCTCATTTTGCCTTGTTTTCCAGTATACCTGCACAAAAACAAGACAAAGACAGGCATGTCCAGACATGGGAGGCCAATTCAGTATAGAATTGGTGACTTGCAGAGTGCACATCTCCAATTTGTAGCATGCAAAAATGGAGAAGAAGATTTTCATTGAGCCAAGTTCTGGTCTGGATAATATTTTTGGTGAAAATGAGGGAGAGGACACAGAGGAGCATAGTGATTTGGATGAGCAGGTTTCTGAGGAGGAAGACAATATGGAGTATCATCCAGAAGACACAGATACATCTGATGAGTCTGATGAGGAGGCCACCGATGCTGAAGCTGCTCCCGCTGAAATATTCAAGTCCAAAAATGGTAAGATCTGTTGGACCTCAGTACTCCTGATGTACATGGCAGGGCAGCTGCTGCAAATGTCATCAAAATGACCCCTGGAATCACAAGGTTTGCTGTGATGAGAGTCAGTGACATCAAGACATGTTTTGAGCTATTTTTGCCATTGTCACTAAAAAGAGTCATCATTGCTATGACAAACCTTGAAGGAAAAAAAGTCCATGGCAGCATGTGGAAAGACATTGATGAGGAATACCTGGATGCCTATATTGGTGTTCTTCTTCTTGCTGGAGTGTACAGATCCTGCAATGAGGCCACTGATAGTCTGTGGGATGCATCGACAGGCAGAAATATTTTCCGGGCAGCAATGTCACTTCAGACCTTTCACATGATATCAAGAGTCCTCAGATTTGACAACAGAGATACCAGAGCAAGATCTGACAAGCTTGCCCCCATCAGGGATGTCTTGGAGAGATGGGTGCAGCTCCTTCCACTGATGTTCAACCCTGGGCCAGAGGTGACAGTGGATGAACGTCTTGTCCCTTTCCGAGGAAAATGCCCCTTCCGGCAATACATACCCAGTAAGCCAGGGAAGTACGGCATAAAAATCTGGGCAGCCTGTGATGCAAAAACCAGCTATGCCTGGAATCTACAGATTTACACAGGCAAAGCTGCAAGTGGCATCCCTGAGAAAAAACCAAGGAAAACGTGTGGTCCTCGATATGACTACTGGACTGCAGGGTCACAATATCACTTGTGACAATTGTTTTACCAGCTATGACCTTGGACAAGAACTTCTCAGGAGGAAACCATGGTGGGCACAGTGAAGAAAAATAAACCTGAGTTGCCTGCTGAAATCTTGCAGGTGAAGGACAGGGCTGCACTGTCCACAAAGTTTGCTTTTACAGACACAACACCACTGTTGTCTCATATCGTCCAAAAAAAAAACTGGAATGTGAAACTTAGTCTACTCTTCACAAAGATGCAGCTGTGTCATCAGGAAGGGACAAAAAGCCCACAATTATCCTCGACTATAACAAAAACAAAGGAGGAGTGGACAACCCGGAGAAGCTGACTACCACCTACACTTGCCAGCGAATGACCAGGAGATGGCCAATGGTTGTGTTTTACAACATCCTTGATGTGTCTGCATATAATGCATTTGTGTTGTGGACCCACATCCACCAAGGATTGAACTCAACCAAAAAAAAAACAAGCGGAGAATGTTTCTTGAGGAGCTGGGAAATTCCCTTGTCAAGCCACACATTGAGGGAAGGGAATGGGTGCCCCGAGACCCAGATGCTGCAGTCTTGGTCAGACACAGCTGCAGAGTCACCTAGCACTTTGTCCATGACAGCATCCTCCTCAGCCAGCCCTGCCTCAACATCATCCACAACCCACAACCACAACCCCACTCAGGCCACCTGATTCTAAAAGAAAGAGGTGTCAGGTCTGCCCAAACAGTAAGACAGAAAGACAAATGTACTGTGCTTCAACTGCAACAAATATCTCTGCAAAGAACACACTAAAAGTGTCACTTTTTGACCACACACACACACGCAAACACACACGCACGCGCACACACACACATGCGCTCTTGCACACAGACTTTTACTCTGATTTTGTTTTTTATTAGTGTTGGAACAAGTAATTGATTTCTATTGGTTTGATTTGCTTGATTGGTGGTTGTTTGTTTGACCTTGCAAATCTATATTTTGTTATCTTTATGTTATATATATATATGTATATATATATATATATATATTTGCTCTGTTTTTCATTTTGTGTTTGTACTAAACTTCTATTGCTGAAAAAAAAGAGACTTTTTTGCCTTTTTGAAGTAATTATATATATATGGGTCGAAATTGACCCTTAACCCTAGATGTTACTATAGTTAATAATATTAAAATGAAAAAATAAACAAAACAAATTTATTTCAAAGATGTGTTCTAAATCCCCTCAGTAATAGTCAAGTGACATAACAACCTTTTATTTATTTATATGATTCTCTTGAGGTTCATTTTACATGTTTTTTAATTGAAATCGAGGGGTATACTGACATAAAAAAGGCCCAGGGGCCCACACCAAAAATATTAAAACCAATATTTTCATGGATAAGGAAGCCTAACAAGGTAACCAAGAGATGAGAAACAAATTGGATGATAGATCATTGCTTTTAGTGTATTTTACAGCTGATTTAAGACACGGGTCAAAACCGACCCGTTAACATAAGAGATGGTAACAGGAAACTAACACAAGAGGAAGGATACATAAAGTTACACTTGAGTGCTGGCTATAATAGGAGAGTTTACGTTTTTATCTGCTAGATCAGTGAATTATGCAATGAGTGACTTACAAACGCAAGTGAGTTGATACATTGCTTATATCATTTCAGCCACTTATGCTCAGAGTGCTGATTGGCATATTGTTTTGAATGTGACTGCACATTTTCTGCCTACTGGGATGATGATACATGGATAATATTACAGGAGCAGTGGATACATTTCTTAATGTGTGTGAACTATTGCTAGAGCTATTTATGCTCAGAGTAAGCGTTGACTGAAACATTGTTTTAAGAAAGGCATTCATGTTTGCTCAATGATAGTGGCTCATGTGTGCCCTTAGCCTCTTACCTCTAGTTTTGTTTTTTGTTTTCGGGAAGAGAGACTGTAATAGTGTCATATTATTATTATTATTATTATTGTTATTATTATTAATAATAAAAATAATTATTCTTATTTAAGTACCTTAAATAAAACTACACAATTATGTTCAGTCTGTATTTCTGATACCATGCCCTTAACTTTCTTTGGTATTTTCCACCTTTTGGCTCTGGTGTACAGATGTCTTTGTTGTCTTCTCCACCAGTAAACGTTAATGGTAGATAGGGATATTCTGCCTCCTTGTTAAAGTTTCTAATCGAAAATTAGGGAACACTCTTTAATATTTTTAAAAATGTAAATTTATTTATTTATTTCAGTTACTTATATAGCGCTGTCAATTTATGCAGCGCTTTACACATACATATTGTACATTCACATCAGTCCCTAACCCTCAAGGGGTGTACAATCTAAGGTCCCTAACTTATATTCATACATACACATATTAGGGCCAATTTAGACAGCATCAAATTAACCTACCAGCATGTCTTTGGAGTGTTGGAGGAAACCGGAGTACCCGGAGGAAACCCACGCAGGCACAGGGAGAACATGCAAACTCCAGGCAGGTGGTGCCGTGGTTGGGATTCGAACCAACGACCCTAGTACTGCCAGGCGGAAGTGTGCTGCTAACCATTTAGCCACTGTGCTGCCCAGTATATATATATATCCATATATATATATATATATATATATGTACATGGGGTCAGCTGTTTTTGCCAATTATGTATGCAGGCCCTGCTTCCTGCTCTCTGGTGCTGCACAGTGGTTGAATGAAGCCTCTCTTTTGCACTATGATGGTTTTTGAGTCAGCTGAATTACAGACAGTCAGCTGTTGAATGACAACCGTTATAGTAAAAATGAGTCACGGCCCTGCTTCACTGCTCCTGTGTGCTGCACAGTGAGTTGAATGAGTGCCCTCCTTTGCACAATGATGGAATTTTGCCCCAGTCAGCTGAATTACAGACAGTAATGCAGTGCCCCATCGTGTGTACATGAATAGACCCCATCCGTATAGTAGTTTTTATCAAAAGGAATGAGTGCCCCATGACCTTGGTATCAATCACATGAGAGGAATAATCCTTGGTATCAATGAGAGGAATAGTGCCCCATCGTTGGTATCAATGGGAAGAAGAATAGTGCCCCATCCTTGGTATCAATGAGAGGAATAGTGCCCCATTGTTGGTATCAATGGGAAGAATAGTGCCCCATCATTAGTGTCAGTGGAAGGTTATAACTATTGTGTACCATAAGCATCGCCATTTAAAAAAAAAATAAAATAACTTTCACTTTTCAGTCCTTTGTTGCATCACTTTGGTGCTGCCGATCTCCTGCAGCCACTTTCTGTCTACATACATGTGCACCAGTGATGGCCACATGGCTCCCTCAGGGTGAGTTTCCTGATTGTGACACCACTGCACTATGTCTGCATTATGTGTTTTTAAAGGCCACCAGTAATTTGCAACAGAAACCTGGGTGACAATGCAGAAGCACATTAGGAGATAGGGAGAGAACATTGTCACCATAAAATAGGAAATGCTACAACAAGGGTCTTCGTAGTAAAATGACTGAGTATTATTTTAATGAAACCTACAGATTAAAATGACTTTTGAAATTGCGTTGACATGTTAATAGCTTATGAAATTTTAATGATTGGGTTCATCTAAATTTTAAGCAGTTAGGCAGAGTAACTATAGTAGTCAATCCAACCTGCCTGTAATAGTTCATTTACAAACCTCTGTTTAATAAAATACAAAACAATGAAGAGACACTTTCACATTTTTAAAGTCTCATCTTAAATTATTTTTTTATTTAAACACAACAATGAGATCAGTTAGACAGTATTCCAGGCTTAGAGCTGTCACAGGGATTTCCTTGTCTTCTCTGCACTTGTTGATTGTTTCCACGTTTTTTACAGTCTTGACTAAATTTTGCACTTATCTCATTTCTAGGGGTTGATGAAGAAATTCATCCGTTGTTCAACACGCATAACAGTTGGGACTATCAAAAAGTTTTTAAGTTTAAAATTAAAACTTCCAAGTACTTATGAGGTAAGAGCAGAGCTGAGAATTGGTAATATGTACATATAAAGTAATGTATATTATGATTTAGACACCATGCATTTAGCCCTGGTGCATGGGGCTGTGGCATTTAACTGTGGGAAGAGAGCACCAGTGCACCATCCAGTCCCACTGCAGGCAGTCCATCAAACTCTATGAGAGGCTGACAACTGCTGCAGCTAGATCAGGGGTGGGCAAACTTTTTGACTTGAGGGCCGCAATGGGTTCATATATTGGACCCGGGGGCCAGACCAAGAGTAGATGAATGATGTGTATGTGTCATCCATAGTAAGTATAGTAATATTCCCCCATAGTAAGCATAGTAATTAATCCCCCATATAGCAATTCATCCCCCATAGTAATTCATCCCCCATATAGTAATTCATCCCCCATATAGTAATTCATCCCCCCTATAGTAATTCATCCCCCATATAGTAATTCATCCCCCCTATAGTAATTCATCCCCCCTATAGTAATTCATCCCCCATATAGTAATTCATCCCCCCATATAGTAATTCATCCCCCATAGTAATTCACCCCCCATAGTAATTCATCCCTCATAGTAATTCATCCCCCATATAGTAATTCATCCCCCATATAGTAATTCATCCCCCATAGTAATTCATCCCCCCTATAGTAATTCATCCCCCATATAGTAATTCATCCCCCATAGTAATGCATCCCCCATAGTAATTCATCCCCCATATAGTAATTCATCCCCCATAGTAATTCATCCCCCATATAGTAATTCATCCCCCCTATAGTAATTCATTCCCCCTATAGTAATTCATCCCCCATAGTAATTCATCCCCCATATAGTAATCCATCCCCCATAGTAATTCATCCCCCATATAGTAATTCATCCCCCCTATAGTAATTCATTCCCCATATAGTAATTCATCCCCCCTATAGTAATTCATTCCCCATATAGTAATTCGTCCCCCATATAGTAATTCATCCCCCCATAGTAATACATCCCCCATATAGTAATTCATCCCCCATATAGTAATTCATCCCCCATAGTAATACATCCCCCATATAGTAATTCATCCCCCATATAGTAATTCATCCCCCATAGTAATTCATCCCCCATATAGTAATTCATCCCCCATATAGTAATTCATCCCCCCTATAGTAATTCATTCCCCATATAGTAATTCATCCCCCATATTAAGTCCCCAAGTCCCCCCTGTGTCAATTCACTTACCTTTGCTCCGCGCGTTCCTCTCGCCGTGTTCCCGCGCCGTTCCGGTGTAGCATGAAAATCTGTCTCCTATAAGGATCTGTCCCCCTCGACGTATCTGCGCATGTGCCAGTTTCAGGCATTAGCAGCCGATCGGCGATCTCCGGCACATGCGCAGATACGTCGAGGGGGACAGATCCTCATAGGAGACAGATTTTCATGCTACACCGGTCTTCAGGGCGGACTGTGAGAGGAGCCTAGCTCCCCTCGCGTTCGTCACGCTGCCCCGCCTACACACATCCTGACAGCCATCCTGACAGTATCACGCTCCGCGGGCCGGATTAAAAGGTCCGCCCGGGCCGGGGCCGTATACGGCCCGCGGGCCGTAGTTTGCCCATTGCTGAGCTAGATGGTGCACCTAAAGCGTTGCACTCCTGGCATTTCATCCCTGGGTGCATACTGCCCTAAACAAAAGTACCACTAGGTGCCCCATCTAACTGCAGCTTGGTAGCCCCTCATAGAGTTTGACAGGCCAAGTACAGCAGCCAGAGCCCCATGTAGCGCTGCTAAATGCTTAGTGTGCTTGGGGTCGTAATGTATCATATTAAAAGTTTTGAAATATATAAAGTTAGAGTTTCTTTACGGGACAGAGATATCGAGACAAGAGTGTTGTCTGTAACTAACTAAATTCTTGCTGTCGTTTTTTTGTTGCAAGTTACATATTAAAGAAAATAATTTTCTTTTCTGTTCATTGAAGGACACAACAGATCTTCATGACAGATGGGTTTTATGTCGCCACCTGCACAAATAGGATGCTAGGCGTAACTAAAAGTATGCCCAAGGGGTGGCCCCAGGTGGTGGCCACACCCACCATTTGCATTACACAACTCCGTTTATGCCTAGCTCTCAGGAATGGTGACCTACAATTTTTTTTCTATTATCTTTTGTCATATTTTTTGTTCCAGTAGATGGATTTTTGTCTTCAACCAACCGCAGTGCTGGGTGACAGGCCAGATATATGTATATTTAGGTAGTCTCCCCAGCACTGCCATTGAGTGCATGTGGTTCTCCACTCCTGGGGTATGGCTCTGGAAGAATTACAGTGTGTACTTGTTGCTGTAATTGTGTGCTTGACACATTCACTGGAACTGGGGACTGCCAGGATGGGGGAAACGCTGTGGGCACAGTATAATTTTAGTCATTTGTACCCAAGTACTACATGTTTAGCTGCTCACAGCCACAAAGAACCTGCTCCCAGAGTTGGGAGATGAGAGAACTGTTCAGCCTTCAGTGGAATTATTGATGATTTTGACAGGAGGAGTGGGCTGCCTTTCTCTAGAAGCTGCAAGTGCACGCAGTGCCAGAGGGACCTGGAGGGGCAGCGCTGTGGGGTGCCATTTTTGCATAGCCTGTGATGTTTTCCTACCTTTCTAGTTGTTGAAGGGGGCAGGCCATCCTATTAAGTTGCAGTCAGCAGCATGCATGGTGCGATCACCTCCAAAATCATTGGATTCAGGTGTTCCAATCACCTCCATGGATTCAGGTGTTCCAATCACCTCCATGGCCACAGGTGTATCAATTCAAGCACCTAGACATGCAGACTGCTTCTACAAACATTTGTGAAAGAATGGGTCACTCTTAGGAGCTCAGTGAATTCAAGCGTGGTACCATGATAGGTTGCCACCTGTGCAATAAGTCAAGCTGTGAAATTTCCTTGCTACTAAATATTCCACAGTCAACTGTTAGTGGTATTATAACAAAGTGGAAGCAACTGGGAACAACAGCAACTCAGCCATGAAGTGGTAGGCCATGTAAAATGACAGAGCGGGGTCAGCGCATGCTGAAGCGCACAGTGCGCAGAAGTTGCCAACTGTCTGCAGAGTCAATAGCTAAAGACCTCCAAACTTCATGTGACCTTCAGATTAGCACAACAACAGTGCATAGAGAGCTTCATGGAATGCATTTCCATGGCCGAGCAGTTGCATCCAAGCCTTACATCACCAAGTGCAATGCAAAGCGTTGGATGCAGTGGTGTAAAACTGGACTCTAGAGCAGTGGAGACATGTTTTCTGAACATGTCTGGGTTTGGCAGTTGCCAGGAGAACAGTACTTGCCTGACTGCATTGTGCCAAGTATAAAGTTTGGTGAAGGGGGATTATGGTGCAGGGTTGATTTTCAGGGGTTGGGTTTGGTCCCTTAGTTCCAAGGGAACTCTTAAGGTGTCAGCATACCAAGACATTTTGGACAATTTTATGCTCCCAACTTTGTGGGAACAGTTTGGGGATGGCCCCTTCAAGTTCCAACATGACTGCACACCAGTGCATAAAACAACGTCCATAAAGACATGGATGAGGGAGTTTGGGATGAAGGAACTTGACTGGTCTGCACAGAGTCCTGACCTCAACCTGATAGAACACCTTTGGGATAAATTAGAGTGGAAACTGTGAGCCAGGCCTTCTCGTCTGACATCAGAGCCTGACCTCACAAATGCACTTCTGGAAGAATGGTCAAATATTCCCATAGACACACTCCTAAACCTTGTGGGATGCCATTAAAGTTCATGTGCACATAAAGACATGGCGTCCCAATACTTTTGGCAATATACTGTATCTTCTGAGCTTCATCTTCTAATCTAAGGCCTCTCCATGTTCATATGTCTCTGCCAGGACCAGTGTGCATGGCATACAGTGCCATTACCAGAGGGGTGATTCTATAGCCCTGTTGTGGGGCTCCTTATCTGCAACAAGTGCCAGGTATGACTGAGTTTCGGTGGGCAAGTCATAAGCTGACAGGGATACCTAGTGTTCTGGAGTAGGTTACTTCATGTGTTTCCTGTGGGGCAACAGACATATTTTCCTCATCGGAACCACTCTGTTTAGCCTGCCAAACTCCTGTGGTCCTGGAGGCCTCTGCATCCTCTTCAGAAGCAAGCCAAGTGGCGTCTTGGTCCTCAGGATCCCCTTTAACTTTTGAATTTGTTTCAACCAATAGGAAAGGGTTTGTGCATGGAAAGGGCTCTACTGCATAAACTTGCTACCAAGCATCCCCTCTCCCCAGTGTCTGCATCCTGGGATCCGGGAACCCCTGAGGCAGCTACCTCCCCTCTCCCTTTTGGACAGTGAATAGGAGCTGATGAGAGCAAATCTGGCATGCAATAAAGAACTTGTTCCACACTTTATTACGATGGTCTGGGAAATTTTGAAGATGGAAGATCCCTGGATGCACAAATGCAAAAAGTCTTCAACAGGTTTTCCATATGACCCCTTTATTTATGATTTTTGCAAGACCTGGTCCCATCCGACCAAGTTCTTCATTTTGCCTATACACCTCTCTGTACACTTCTCCTTCGAGAAACTGTCTATCCAAAGTGCTCTTCTCCTCTGGTAGTGAGTCCTCCCATTCACCAGATAAAAAAGGCTACCCTGATCTCATCTGAAGAATTTCCCTTTTTGTGGGACCCATCAGAAGAAAGGCAGAATATATGTTCTTTGTATGTAGTTTCCAGAGTGTTAATCCATCCAGTCCTTGCTTTTGCCCTGGTATCTCAAAACACTGGATGAATGGGTTAACTTGCTACAAATCCCAGGCACCAGGTTACCAATTGCCTGGGCTTTTTTCAGACCCAGGGGCGAACTTACCACTCAGCAATGTCCGAGGGCCTGGGGTCAGTAGGAGTCCCCATCAGGGTTGGCAACCATCCCTGTTTTTACAAGGGTGCAAAACTATCCATAAAAATAGAGAGGCTGGATTCCCCCTGTAGGCTCTATGGAGGCGGACTGCTTGTTTAGCTACCCTACAAATCCCTCCA